AGAATTACATTGGACTTCTCTTCAGAAATCATGCAAGCAAAAAGACTGTAGACTGAAATGTTTAAAATGATTAAAGAAAGAAAAACCCACCAACCTAGAATTCTGCATCCAGTGAAATTATCCTTTGAAAGTGAAGAAAAATACATTTTTTCAGACAAACAAGTTGAGAGAATTTGTCACCAGTAGACATTCCCTTTAAGAAATATTAAAAGAAATTCTCCAGAAAAAAATAAAATAAAATGTCAGACACTTTTATCTACATACAGAAAGGAAGAGAGTTAGAGAAGGAATAAATAAAGGTAAATTATAATATTTTATTTTTCTTATTGTTAACTGATTTAACAGATAACATTTTGTTCAAGCTAATAATAGCAACAATATATTGGAGGATTATAGCTGATGGATAAGTGAAATGAATGGCAGCAGTGTTATAAGGAACAGGAAGAAGAATGTGAGGATACACTTATAAGGTACTCTGCCTTCCCATGAACTGGTCTAGTGTTATTTGAAAGTGGATTTAGATTTGTTGTAAATGTATATGTTAAACTCTAGGAAAACTACAATTTTTTTTAAATGTGTAATTGATATGTTAAGAGAGGAGAGAAAATAAAATCATATAAAATGCCCAGTTAAAACTAGAGAAGGCAGAAAAAGAGTAGAAGAACAAAAAGAAACTAAGGATAAGGGTGATAAATAGAAAATAGTTACAAATATGGCTGATATTAATGCAACTATGATGCATTAATGATTTAAAATCAATGATTATGATTTTAAATATGAATTATCAAAATACACCAATTAAAATACAGTAACTGTCAGAGTGAATAAAAAAAGACACACTCATATGTTATCTACAAGAAACCACTTTAGATAGAAAGCACAGATGCAAAGGCATGGGAGAAAGATAGACAATGCTAATACTGATCAAAACTAAGCTAGAGGAGTTATATTAATTTTAAGCAAAATTAATAAGCCTTCACAAGGGCTTATATGCAAGGAAAATTTTAAGGCTTATGTACAAGGAAAATAAATAAAGGCTTCAATGAAAGGAGAATTTTCAGAGATAAAGTAGGTCATTACTTAATGATAAAGGGGACAATTCTATAAGAATTCTTAATGTGTATGCACCTAATATGAGAACATCAAATTACGTGAAGTAATAATTTATAGATCTGCAAGGAAAAGTATACAAATTCATTAATTTACTTGGAGACTCTGACAGCCCTTTATCAGTAATTTAAAGACCCATTAGAAAGAAAATTAGTAATAATATAAACTCTACAGCACAAAAAATCAACCAGATCAATTTGACGTTTATGGAATACTTCATCCAACAACAGCAGACTACACATTGTTCTAAGTTCATATGGAACTTCCACCAAATTTGCAACATTTTGAGCCATAAAACACACTTTAACAAATTTAAAAGAATGGAAATCTTACAAAGTATGCTATCAGACAAAAATGAAATTAAATAAGAAATTAATAACAGAAAGATAGCTGGAAAATCTCAAAATACTTTTGAGATTAAACAACACATAAGTCAAAGAAGAAGGATCAAGAGAAATTTAAAAACATTTTGAACTAAATGAAAATTAAAATACAACCTATGAAAATTTGTGGAGTGCATTAAACGCAGTGCTTAAAGGGAAATTAATAGCATTAAGTGCATTTATTAGAAGAGACGAAAAATATAAAATAAGTAATCTAAGCTTTCACTGCGGAAAACTAGAAAAAGAGCAAATTAAATCCAAAGTAAGTAGATGAAAGGAAATAATACAAATGAGAAATCAATGGAATTGAAAATAGCAAATTAATAGAAAATTTTTTTTTAATTTTTTGTTTATTGCAGTAACATTGGTTTATAACATATAAATTTCAGGTGTACATCATTATACTTCTATTTCTGCATAGATTACATCATGTTCACCACCCAAATACTAACTATAACCCATCACCACACACATGTGCCAAATTATCCCTTTCGCCCTCCTCCCTCCCCACTTCCCCTCTGGTAACCACCAATCCAATCTCTGTGTCTGTGTGTTTGTTTATTGTTGTTATTATCTACTACTTAATGAAGGAAATCATATGGTATTTGACCTTCTCCCTCTGACATATTTCACTTTGCATAATACCTTCAATGTCCATCCATGTTGTCACAAATGGCTGGATTTCATCGTTTCTTATGGCTGAGTAGTATTCCATTGTGTATATATAACACAGCTTCTTTATCCATTCGTCCCTTGATGGGCACTTAGGTTGCTTCCAAGTCTTGCCTATTGTGAATAACGCTGCAATGAACACAGTGGTGCGTGTATCTTTATGCACTTGTGTTTTCAAGTTCTTTGGATAAATACCCAGCAGTGGAATAGCTGGATCATATGGGAGTTCAATCCTTGATTTTTTGAGGAATCCCCATACTGTTTTCTATAGTGGCTGCACCAGTTTGCGCTCCCACCAGCAGTGTATGAGAGTTCCCTTCTCTCCACATCCTCTCCAACACATGTTGTTTCCTGTCTTGCTAATTATAGCCATTCTGACGGGCGTGAGGTGATATCTCATTGTAGTTTTGATTTGCATTTCCCTGATAGTTAGTGATTTTGAACATCTTTTCATGTGTCTGTTGGCCATCTGTGTATCTTCTTTGGAGAAATGTCTGTTCAGGTCTTTTGCCCATTTTTTAATTGGGTTGTTAGTTTTTTTGTTGTTGAGATGCATGAGTTCTTTATATATTTTGGAGATTAAACCCTTATCAGATGTATGGTTTGCGAATATCTTCTCCCAATTGTTAGGTTGTCTTTTCATTTTGTTGATGGTTTCCTTTGCTGTGCAGAAGCTTTTTAGTTTGATGTAGTCCCATTTGTTTATTTTTTCTATTGTTTCTCTTGCCCGGTCAGACATGGTGCTTGAAAATATGTTGCTAAGACCGATGTCGAAGAGCGTACTGCCTATGTTTTCTTCTAGAAGTTTCATAGTTTCAGGTCTTACATTCAAGTCTTTAACCCATTTTGAGTTAATTTTTGTGTATGGTGTAAGGTAACGGTCTACTTTCATTTTTTTGCATGTGACTGTGCAGTTTTCCCAACACCATTTGTTGAAGAGACTTTCTTTTCTCCATTGTATGTTCTTGGCTCCTTTGTCAAAGGTTAGCTGTCCGTAGATGTGTGGTTTTATTTCTGGGCTAGAAAAATTTTTTTTAAAAAAAGCTTAGTCTTTGAAAAGATCAATAATTAATAAACTTCTAGCCAGGCTAACAAAGAAAAAAGAGAAGACACATTATAATATCAGAAATGAAAGAGGGGTCATAACTACCGATTCAATGATATAATGCAATATTATTCAGCCTTAAAAAATACGGAATCTTGCCATTTGTGATGATATGGATGAACTTGGAGGACATTATGCTAAGTGAAATAATCCAGACACAGAACAAATACTGCATGCTCCCACTTATAGGAGGAATCTAAAGTAGTCAAACTTATAGAAGCAGAGAGTAGAATGGTGGTTACCAGGGGCTGGGAGGAGGGGAATACAGGAAAGTGTTGGTCAAAGGGTACAAAGTTTCAGTTATGCAAGATGAATAAATCCTAGATATCGCCTGTACAGCATAGTGCTTACAGTTAACAATACTGTATCTTATACTTAAAAATTTGCTGAGAGATCTTATGTTGAATGTTCTTGTCACAAAAATAAAATAAATAATAAAGATGTGGAAGGAAATTTTTAGAAATGATGATGATATGATCATGGCATTGAATGTGGTGTTGATTTCATGAATATATACTTATCTCCAAACTCATCTAGTTGTATCTATTAAATATGTACAGCCTTGTGTATATTAGTCACGCCGAAATAAAGTGTTTTATATAATTAGATCAAAAATTAATAACCTTCCAAAACAAAACAAAAAAAACACCAAACCCAGATAGGTTTATATTTCAACCTTGCTATAATCACTTTTTATTTCAGGAATATTTTTTTCCAGTTCTTTGAGATTTTCTACATAGACAATCATGTCATCTGTGAACAAAGACAGTTTTATTTCTTCCTTCCCAATCTGTATACCTTTTATTTCCTTTTCTTCTTTTATTTCATTAGCTAGGACTTCCAATATTGTTTGACAGGAGTGGTCATAGGAGACATCTTTGCCTTGCTCCCAGTCTTAGAGGGAAAACATCTAGTTTCTCACCATTAAGTATGATGTTAGCTGTACAGTTTTTTGTAGATGTTCTTCATCATCTTGAGAAAGTTTCTCTCTTCCTAGTATGCTCAGTGTTTTTATTGTGAATGGATGTTGGATTTTGTGAAATGCTTTCTTTGCATTTATTGATATGATAATATGTTTTTCCTCCTAAGCCTGCTGATGTGATGAATTTTATTACTTGTTTTTTGAATGTTGAACCAGACTGGTCAATCTAGAATAAACCCAAATTAGTAATGAAGTGTAATTATTTCTATATAATATTGTATTTGGTTGGTAATACTTATGGAAGAGTTTTACATTTAGTTCATGAGAAATATTAGTCTTTAATTTTCCTTTTTTGTAATAAGCTTTTCTAGTTTTGCTATTAAGGTAATACTGACCTCATAGTATGAGTTAGGTAGAAAATCCCAAAGAACTTGCAAAAAAATATTCCTGAAACTAAAAAGTGATTATAGCAAGGTTGCAAGATAAATGATTAATATACAAAAGTCAATTATTTTTAAATATACCAGCAATAAACTATTGAAATATGAAATTAAACATAAATCATTTATATTAGCACCAAAAAATGAAATACATAGGTGTAAATCTAACAATATACATAAAATCTACATGAGGAAATCTACAAAACTCTGTTGAAAAAAATCAAAGTGATCTAAATAAATGGAGAAATATTCCATGTTCGTGAATAAGAATATTCAATGTTGTCAAAATGTCAGTTTTTCTCAACTTGATCTATAGATTCAATGCATTCCCAATAAAAATCCCAACAAGTTACTTTGTGGATATCAACAAGCTGATTCTAAAATTTATACAGAAAGGCAAAAGAAACAGAATAGCAAACACAATATTGAAGAAGAACAAAGTCAGAGGACCGACATTACCCGACTTCAAGACTTACTCTAAAGCTACCGTAATCAAGACAGAATAGTATTGGCAAAAAAATAGACAGCTGATCAATGCGAGAGAATAAAGAGCCCAGAAATAGACCCACACAAAAATAGTTAACTGATCTTTGACAAAGGAGCAAAGGCAATTCAATGAAGAAATTATAGTCTTTTCAATAAATGGTGCTGTGACAGCTGGGCATCCACATGCAAAAAGAAAAAAAAAGAATTTATTCACAGATCTTACACCTGTTATTAAAATTTGCTCAAAATGGATCATAAAACAGAAAACTGTAAAATTTATGAAACATAACATAGGAGAAAATCTAGGTAACCTTGGGTTTGTAAATGACCTTTTAGATACTACACCAAAAGGATGATCCATGAAAGAAAAAAATAAATGTTGGACAACATTAAAATGAAAAACCTCTGTCTTTCAAAGGCACTGTTAAGAGAATGAAAAGACAAACCACACAATGGAATAAAATATTTGCACACACTTATTTGATAAAGGACTTGCATTCAAAATCTAAAAATAATTCTTAAAGCTAAGCAACAACAAAACAACCCAATTTAAAAATGGGCAAAAGATCTTAACAGGCATCTCACCAAAGAGGATATAAAGATGGTAAATAAATATCTGAAAAAATACTCAATATCATATGTCATTAGGGAATTTCAAATTAAAATGACAGTGAGCTATCATTTCATATTATTAGAATGGCTAAAATGCAAAACCTGCCAACACTAAAGGCTGGCCAGGATGTGGAACAAAGGAATTCTCATTTATTTCTGGTAGGAATGTAAAATGGTATCAGCCACATTGGAGGATAGTTTGGCAGTTTCTGGCAAAACTAAACATAGGCTTACCAAACAATTCAGCAATTACACTCCTAATATTTACCCAAATAAGTTGAAAATGCATTTCTACACAAAAACTTGCATACAAATGTTTATAGTGGCTTTATTAATAACTTCCAAAGTTGGAAGCAACCAATATAACCTTCAATAGGTGAATTAATAAACAAACTGTGGTACATACACACAATGGATTATTATTCAGGAATAAGAACAAATGAGCTGTCAAACCACGAAAAGATATGGAGGATCCTTAAATGCATATTTCTAAGGGAAAGAAGACAGTCAAAAAGCTAGATACTGTGTGATTCCAACCAAATGACATCCTGGAAATGTAAAACTATACAGAGAGTAAAAGATTAGTAATTTCCAGGTGTTCAGAAAGAGGGAGGAATAAGTGGAACACTAAGAAATTTTAGGGAGGTGAAACTCTTCTGCATGATATTGTAATATTGAATACATGACATTATTCATTTGTCAAAATCCATAGAACTGCACAGCACAAATGTGAACCCTACTGCAAACTATGGACTTTAATAATAATATATCAATATTGGTTCATCATTTGTAACAATAGAGCCACACTAATTCAGGATATTAATAATAGGAGAAATTTGAGAGGGAAAAGAGAAGGTGTATGGGAAATCTCTGTACTTTCTGTACAATTTTTCTGTGAGCCTAAAACTGCTTTCAAAATGAAGGCTATTAATAAAAAAATAGAATGATGTAAACTTATATATGTCAATATGGAACAATATCCAAGATTTAATGTTTAAAAACAATATACAGAACAATGTGTGTGTTATAACACTTTTATTAAAAAAGTGATATATGTTTATACATAGACCCAAGCATATACAGATATGTGTGTGTAAATATTTGTTGAAAGATAAACACAAAATAAGAAATTTTTAACAATAGTAGCCACTGGAGAAGGGAGGACATGGGGATGTCATATCAGAGATGGGAGAAAGACAAATTTTTCTATGTGTGTCTCTTTGTATTATTTGCACTTTTCAATGTCCATGCACTATTTTTATCTATTAAGTTAATTAATTTTAAAGCAACTCAGAACAAAAAACATTTGCTTTAAATCTAAATGTATGGGTTAGAGGGGAATTTATGATCCTCATAGGCAAATTACTCAAAAACAGAACATATTAATAAAATGTCCAAGAAATAAATATGAGGTCGCAAACAGGTCTGAGGTAGAAGACAAGTAAAGCATCTATCACAAGTAAGAACTACACATTTAAATAAAAATTTTTGTTACTTTCTTCTATTATACAGGGCATCAATAAATATTGAACATCTTAGCAAATGCTAAATGTGACAAAATCTGTCTTGACCATAGAATCTTAATTGCTATTATTTTATAATTTCATTAGCTATAAGCTTCATTAGAACAATAACTGGGTGCATTTTTTTGTATCTTCAGAGCCTTTCACTGTGCCTGTTACAAAATTGGTGTTCAATAGATATCTGTTGAATGAGTGAATCAATTCTGGCTACATCTAAAAGAAATAGCCTGATAAAAAGAGTACAAAATATTGGTTCAAAAATACTCGGAAGTAAAGAATAAGTTAATCAGAGAAAAAGAAATTTCAAGATAGAGCATTAATTATGTAACACAGACAAACATACATACAGCCACACCCACACTCATTCCTCAAAAATATAGTCCTGCAACTAGCTTTCTCATTTCAGATTCATGTAAATGGGAGTAAATGTTTTGTTGTGATGAAAAGTATGGCTTCTATATATTATGCACAGTTAATATAAAGTGAAGAATACTTGTATAAGCCTAAAATATGGAATTGCTTCAAGACATCATTTCTCTTTAGAAAATTCTAGAAAAACTATTCACAATTTAGTACATCCATGACAAATTTTACTTAGGGGAAAAACCGTGCTTTTAGGGAATGTAAATTTAGCACTGTTATAAATATGCTGAATAGAAAATGCAAGTGTTGCAAAAAAATGACTGCTCTAATTACAACAACCAGTCATTGTGCTGAGCATGTAACCTGCTTGAATTATCTTACTTTACCCTAGAATAAGCCAAAGAGTTAAGTACTAGTATTAGCTCCATTTTTCAAATAGGAAATTGAATCTTGGAAAGGTTATGTGGTTTGCTTCAAATTTCACAGGTGGCTGAATTGAGCTTTGAACCACATTCTGCCTTAGACCAAAGCTTAAGTTTTTCCTATTATGCAAACTACCTACCCATCATGCTAGAGCTATAATGGCAAATTTTTTAAAAAGCTGGATAGAGGTAAAGGAACACTTCTCTCCTTTTCAATCCATAGTAACAACCATTACTCTTGATCCTGGACTACAGGTAAAGAGCTAACTCACATTATAGATACCTCAAACAGATAATAAGACTATTAAGTTATTCACTCATTTTTAATATTATTTTCTGTAGCTCTCACAAGAGTTTTGCTGTTGTCTGCCAGAATGACATTAAACTATTTGTTCCATCATGTGCATAGGGACTTTCTGACTTCACCTCCTAAATTTAAAGGAAATGGAGGAAAATAGGCATGTGTCTGTTCCCCATTTGAACCACTTTTGTTCATCACTGAGATCACAAGGCACTCTGGCTCTCCACAGGAAACCTTTCACGTCCTAATGACAAAACACTTACAGTGCCTGTTCAAAGCTCTTTACTACTGACTGCAACCAGTAATGGATCACATGTAATAATTGCAGCCTGTCTAAAAATGTCCTCAGGGGAGAAATCAACACAGGAGCCAATCATGAGAATAGGAACTCTAATAACTGAGCTCACACTAGATGCACAAAATGACAAAAGTATCCTATTTTTTCCTGAGTGAGACTTTCTGATGGCTCTTCAAACATTGTCAATCAAGGTTCACAACTCGCATCATTGAAAAAGCTAGGTTGCTTCATCAAATACCCAGTGCACTCAGATGGGCTGCTTTGCATTAACTTTCTTTACAACATTTTGAGGAAGGATATCATCTGATAATAAAACTCAAATAAAAAGCATATAACAAAGATTCCATATACTGTCACTTAGGTATTGAAGAGTCTTAATCAAACGTAGGATTCCAAACAATTGGACACACAGGTAAATAGAATAAAAAGAAAAGTGAAAAGAAAAGTAAATAACTCCTTTCATTGCTGTGACCAAACTACTGATAAATAAAACTGACTTTTAATATATATGCATGCAAAGATATGCTCACACACACACATACACCGCTCAGTCAAATATAAGATTACAACTAGTTTAACCAATTTTTAGATCTTATGCCTTCCCACTTATTTGTATAGGGTTTCTTATAGAATGCAGCAGTATGATGAAAATGAGTTAAATGTTTTCAACAAACTTCTTTTGTAAACAACTTTATTGAGATATAATTTACATGCAATAAAATTCATACAGTTTAAGCATACAGTCTGGTGAGTTTGGAAAAATCTAATTTTGTAACCTCCAGTACAATCATATTATAGAATTTTTCCATCACCTCAAAAAGTGCCCATATGCCCAGATCTTGGTTTGCAATACCACTTTCCAATGGAAGGAACCACGGCTCCTCGGAGAAATGGCTGATTTAGAACTAGGGTAGGGGAAATACATGATGAGCCTGGAGTATATAGTAGTATCAGAAACTAGAAAGTGCTAAAAAAAAAACAGTGTATGGGGCTGGTCAAAAAATCATGGGAGCCAACCTTAAAATGTTTCCAATGTCAAATATGGAATAATTTAAACAATAAAATAAATAACCATAATATCAAATTACAACACAAATAAATATATGAAATAAATATACATAAATCCACATTAATATACATAAATGATTACATAAATAACTAAATAAATGGGGGAGAAGAGACAAATTTTCCTTACAGAAGAATTCCAAATAATATATGAAGATACTCCCCCATACCATTGAGAGTTGTTGGACGTAGTGACTTGCTTGTAAAGAAGAGTATGGAAAGGGAGAATAATTGTAACTTTACAGTAGAGAAAACTGGCAAAAGCCACTTTAACCAAGTGATCAAGATTACCATCACCAATGATAGGTCATGTTAATGTCATGTACCTGCTGATGTGATATAATGAAAAGAGTGTTTCACCTGTCTGTTATTCTACCCCAAAACCCATAACCCCCGTCTAGGTATGAAGAAAACATCAGACAGACCCAAGTTGAGAGAGATTCTATAAAATACCTGACTAGTACACCACATAACTGCCGTGAACATGTAAAATAAGGAAAGATTGAGAAAATGTTACAGACCAGAGGAGATTAAGGAGATGTGGTGACTAAATGCAATGTGGTTCTGTGGGTTGGATCCTGAAACAGAAAAAGGACACTAGGAGGAAAAATGGGCATAATCCAAATAAAAGCTTATAGTTTAGTTAAAAATGTTATACCAACATTAATTTCTAAGGTTTGACATATGTAACATGGTTATATAAGATGTTAACATTAGTGGAAGCTGGATGAAGTGTGTACAGGAACACTCTGTAAATATCTTTGCAACTTTCCTATAAATCTAAAATTATTCCAA